AGGAAATCCACCACTGACAAAACACAATTCTCAGTAATTACTGAGCTTTTATGTTTTTTTGCACATGCTCTCAAAACTGCTCAACCATTATGCACAATGTAAATAGACATGCAAAGAGGTCTGGCATGCAACTCTTTGAGCCAAATGTCATTTGAAAGCAAACCTGTTTTCGTTGTGTTTCTCACAGCCCATCAAAGTGTCCACACTGTGCCGTGTCTTAGCAGAATTTCTCTGGAGTGCTACAGATCTGATAATACCACTATTGTTTTCCTGTAAAGCACCAAGTCTCTGCTACAATTACTGGAAGGAGCTTCAACGAGGGCAGTTAAATCATTTGCGGAGACATTATCTACGCAGAGAGAGGAGCGAGGGGGGAGGAGGGGGCAGCCAGGGAGAGGGAACACATAAGGACTCCAAACTTTAGGAAACATTTTTGGAAGACCACACATGGAGGTTAGAGCTCAGATAAAAGCAGCATGATTCACCAGTCACTGCAGGAACGTAATAGACTAATACACTCCTCTGTTTCTGTGCCAAGACCCACATAGTATAGTCAATTGTTTTTCATTACAGGTGATGATGGATTTGTATGTAAATTATAACAATCTACAGCCGCTTTACACACCGCCACAAACTTACACCAACGAGATCTCTGTTCGACAAAACCCCAAAGTCAAAGTCTGTCAGCGTGAACTATCATTAAGAGATAATTTGATTGTTTTTTCAAACGGCGCCCATGTTTGATGTCTGCGGAATGCCAGCAACTCAACAGACAATTATTTTGTTGATTAGCTTGGTTTTTTAGCGACTTCCCATGCCTGTGATATTCCTCTGAAAGTCCCAGACCAGACGCTCAACTCCATCTGACTTGGCAGCAGCATTGCAAGAACAAAGCTTTCACACTCCCAACTAAATGCTGTACAATAGAAAGTGAGTTACAGGGCTGCACCAAGCCAATTGAACTAAGAGGAGAAATAGCCCAGAATATACTGACTGTGTCATATGGAATGCATATGACAGACTTTTGAGGGGAATCACTACAGATTAGCATCACTGTCTCTTATCGCTTAACGATAAGTTTATGAGGCTATGAAAATCTAAATGTTTGTGTAATGCTTGTATTATTTTGTACATTCTTAAATGGGATAAACTGACTGTACAACTACATCTACACATTCAAAATCCCACAACACATTCAACTGATTTTTTATTTATTTATTTTTTTAAAAAGAAATCAATGTGTTTCCATTATATCTTAGTTTTTGGTATTAATTCTCAATACGTAATTTAAAAAATGAAACAGAATCATCCGTTTCAGTTTCCCGCTGACCATAGCGCCTGGCTGTATGTTGGGGCCATACTGTGGTTTGTTTGCCCTCCATGCCTAAATAACAGGCGTGCCTTGTTAGAGAAGGGGCTTTTAAGTGTGAATGTGCAGCGCGCTGCTATAATCCAGGCGAGACGTGAGTGCTTCCCCTGGCAGACGTACGCAGATCCCCCTTCTTCTTCTGCTGCTGCTGCTGCCTGTGCACAAGACAGGCCTCGCTCTCCCTGCTAAGGCACTGCCGCAATAAGTGCTGTTTGCTCAGAGCCGCTCGTCCAGGTTCTCCTCTGTCACACACAAATTGAATATTTTCTACTATAGTGTTGCAGCTGTGCACTGATCAGAACCAGACATGCTCATGTATAGGGCAACAAAAGGCACGGTCGATGTGTGAGTGTGTGCCTATAGTTTAAATTACATTTGAAAAACATTGGATCCACAACACAACGCACATGAAGTGTGTGCACAAAAAAAAAAGAAGTTATCTGAGAGAAACAATTTTTATATGTACGGAATATTTGTATTTATTTATTTGAGTCAAAAAAGCAATTTTTGTACTGTACATTTCATTAGCAGTATGCTCACACCATGTAGGACACACTCAGTGTGTGACGTGAATACTCAACGTGCAATCAGAAAGCAGGCTAACATGTTACACACTCAGTTATTTTATAACCAGGCCAAAGCACTTTTACAACCAAGTTCTGCACTTTGCACTTGCTTTTCCCATCGCCTTTTTTTCGAGGCAAATGAATTGAATGAGGCAATGGAAAAGAGATGCCAGATAAGCTCAGTGGAGCTGCCACTTAAACGCAGCAGAGAGCTACACGAGAGCCATCGCCTAATATCCATGTTGTTCCTTGTCACAAGAGTTTGAATTGACCCTTCCTCCCCTCCGCCTGTGTCCTTGCCGTGTAATTTGCTTCTCGAAAATTATTTAGGCAAGCAGAAAGTTTCACCTGCCATTTCACCTGCCATTTCAGGGGCACCGAGTCCCCTGCTGCACCAGGGCCTTTGGCAAGTGGAAACAAATGTTCTACAAAATGGAAGGGAAGAGAACACACCGCGCACAGTTTTTCTTTCTTTTTTTCCCTATAATTACTAATCGTAAAATAAAATTAGTTATAAAAGAGTAGGTATAGTGGGCCACCACTGCCTGCATGTTAGCCTACATAAAATGTATGCCTTGTTTAGTCCCTTAAACAGTGTGCACTTATCTGCACAGTATGGCTCCATGTAACTGCTTTAGCGACACAACAGATTACATCTGAAAACAACAAGAAACAATTTACACGGCAAATAAGCTATGGAATGTACGTTTAATCGCCTCCACAGTACAGTGCAGTCCCACGTCCTAGTCCATACGCACCCCTTTCACTAGCATGAATAAGCTAGCACACTACTGTATGAATTACATATTGATCCTACAAAGACAGTAGTACTCAGAGAAGAAAGCCCAGCACAGCCCCTTTTTGGTTTAGTACAGGCTCAAACAATACAATCCTTTGAGTCACATCACAACCTTTACACCAGTCATATGGAATCGCAGCTCAACACAAAGACAACAGACTGCTATCAGCGCCCCAGACCCCGCCATACACAGAGCAACATGGCAGTACGCCGCTATGGCACCTTCACACAAAAGAAAATGTAGCAGCACTTTTTGTATTATTTAAAATAGGCTAATTAACAATCCCGCTGTGTTGTCTAGTCTGTGCCTGGGCTCACTGCTGGAGAAGGAGGAAAATATGAAGCAACAGTCAGTAATATCACAAATTTTGATGTGTTCACACCTTCTCAGTCATTCACACTCACTATCTTAAGAGTCCCATGTGCTGCCAGAGTGTGATATCAAGAGTTGAGAATGGAGTGATACATGTACGCAGTGCCCCACTCTATCTCCCCTATTCCACACGCTGTATAGAATAGTGCTGTATTGATTTGCTTGTTGAGATGAAGCAAAGAGAAGAAATTCAGTACTCTGGCAGATCAAGAAGCTTGCAGTTCGCTTTGAAACCGGACGCACTTCCAGCGAAATGAGTCCACCCCGAAAAAAAAGTACAGTCACAATTGTAATGGCTTTTTAGAGACTTCAATAGACAAACTTCACAAAAAATGTCCTTTGATACTTCATTCAAAAGTGAGAATTAACAAACAATGCACGCACACCTGTTATAACAATTGGACCTCTGGTTATACTGGAGGTGCATGTTTTCAGTGTGGGGTCTTTCATACTAGGAGATAAGAGATTTTCTGCGTAGCCCTGTATCTTACAAACAAGATGTCACAGGGGAGGCAAAGCTCACACAACCTTTACTCAGGGCTTAAATCAAGTCGCAAATACACTGACTCCTATTGAAGAAGTCCTGTGGCCACTTTCATATGCTAATACATCTCTGCAACAGGATTTTTTCTCTCTTTCAAAATGTCTACCATGTTCAAATAAAACTCAGATTATCCCAAAATAAAATGGTAGTTTCATTTAGCTTTTGGGTCCTGGTACCATAATGCTTACACTGACTACATGCTTTAAATTTCAAGAGGGGCTTTTCAATGGGGTTTTAGGTGAATGCATGCTTTGTTATGTATAGTGAGGGGAGATAAAAGCTTCTCGTTGCTCTTGGATTAATAGTCTTCTTAGTATATGTGATATAGACACCCAGTTGTGTCTATAACTCTTCACTTTAATGAAGAATAATCTTTCTAATGTAACAAAAGCATCAGAGGATTTAGCGCAATGAAAACCTGGGGAGTGTCTGCTCTAAAATAAGATACCAAAGTACGTTCTACATTTACATTAGCCGCCCTGATCGATCACCGAACACCGCTGCTTTGCCATGTGTTGTACCGTCGGGGTCAGAGGGAGACGAGGACGCACACCATATACCGTAAAGCGGCTTGTGCGTAAAGCCTCTACTTCTGGTAGTGCTGCTATTGCTGCTCGCTTTAACACATTCTCGACAAGATGCTTTCAGAATTGCTAGACTTAAATAATAAATGTCCGGTAAAAGGATCTAATTTTGCTAGCACTTTAACTCTTCGCAATCGTTCTGTTTCATTCAGGCTATTTCTACAGTGCCGCGTAAAGATGGACATGAGTCCATGGCACAAACTTATTATTGCATACTGAGCACTAGATTTTACTTAAACACGATACGCCGAGAGCTACTTTAATAAAGAACAAAAATGCTTTCGAGTCTCAATGATTTCGCTGCATGGATCCGAAGAAAATTCCATTTGGAGAGCGAGCAGTGCATTTAAAACTTCGAGCGCCTTGTAAATTCTTTAAAAAGAACAGTTAATTGGCCCCTTTACATGTTCTGGTTCACATCACGTCAATACGCTGTAGCTTTCTCCCTCGCTACCCACATACACACGATTTTTAATAGTTTCCATTCATCCAAAGTCGGCAGCCGCACATATCAATCCACATCTGGTTATGTTTTGATTAACCATTTTTCAATTAGCTACGCTGCCGGTCGGGTAATTTTAAAAGACTACAAACACGCCTAAGATCAACTTAAATCTGGATTTAATTGCATTTAGTGAGAATGTGGTCGTTTACAATGCAATGTGGGCTACTACTGTTAATTTGCAACTGATCCCGTTATTATAGACTACCAAAAAGTTACAGGTCACTTGTGTGTGGTAATCAGTAAAAGTTAATTTAACTTACCGTATAAGAAAGTTGAGAAACCAAAGCGAGTTCAGATGTAATTGAAGAAATAGTGCACATTTCAGAGAGAAACAGTCAGTTGGGAAGTCCAGTGCAGCGGAGAGCGTATGAATCAGGCATGATCCCTGCTCGGATGTGGGACACCGGTCTGAGAATTTGGGGGTACTTAGTCGTCTTGTCCTCCTTGCAGTCCACACGTTTCCCCGCGTCTGACCAACACTTCCATGGCAAGACTCAAAAGATAGAAGTCCGTGTTAACTGAGCACCTTAGCGGCGTTCCATCCACACACTCTCCCGTACAAGTGCAATGTGCCTTCAGCTCCGGAGGAGCGGCAGAGTAGTGACCAAAAACAGTGACTGGATGTGGACAAGAGAGGAGATTTTTGTTCTGGTCAATGAAAAATGGTCAGTTCTCCCTTCCCCGTGCGCCGATGCCTTCTTCTGTCCCTACGTGTGCGTGCGTAAAGTTTGTTTCATTCTCGCGTGTTGCTCAGTGAAGATCCCGCTCGCAGACAGTCTGGTTGAGACACTTGGTGGAAGCAGCGGCGGTGAGGGGCTTCCAGTAAACAGCGCCAGAGCAGCGAGCGGAGAACAGGCTGCCGTCTGCACGAGCCGTCTGAGCGTAGGGACGCATGAAAACCCGGCATGGAGCGGTAGGCATCACCTGGACTGAGACGGCGTGCGCGCGCGTGCATGTGCGTCAGTGCACTACATCAGTACATTATCACATTCAGTTAAAGAAAGTCACTCCAGACTTTGTACAAGTAATGCTGTAGTCTGGATATTGGGCTATCTTTTTACACAGCTCTGTTTATTCATACTTTGGCTTTGTCACAGGAAGTCCAGCCCATTCAGCCAATGACAGAGGACTTATTCTACTGTAATACTACCATGCATCAAACAGAATCTACAGACAGACATTCTTTTTAACCCTCACAGCGACTGGCCCCACAGGATAACACTCTGCTACCAGCCACAGCAACTTGACCAGAGCTGGCTGTGTTTTTTCTAAGTATCTCCATTGTGAGAGCCAGTGTAGATTTTCTCTCTTTCTCTCCAGCCCCCGTCTCCTACATGATTCATGACACCATTCCACATTCAAGGGCACTTTTTGGGCTGCTTTTCCACGTTGACCCCTGCACTCGCTACAGTTTGGGCGCATTACTCCGCAGCCATGCACACTCAGTATTCAGGCTTTGATACGGCTCTTTTGTATTGCTATAGGCTTGTCAAAAGATCCAATGCGCATGTGTGTGTAAGAGAGTGGAATGCAAGTCCTTTCATATTCAACAGAGCCAGAGAAACAGCTGCCTTTTTCTATTTTCATTAGGTGCTCTATCTTTGCATCGGAAAATGATTCTACACTTTATGTTTACATCCTTTTTGTAGAGTTGGGGAACATGTTATGATCTGCTCTGAGAAGTTTGACTAGAGCCATTATAAGAAAGGACGTGGCTGCGCACCTGGCTCCAATAAGAAGTGCTTTTGCAGTGAGGAAAAAAGTAAAGTTGAATCATGCTTACCAGGTGAAGGTGAACAACGGAGAGGGGGCAAACTTATGTTTTCATAAGCATAATTTTACATAATAATACAGCCATCTTTTCCCATGTACGGGACAAAAAAGAGAAAACAGATGTAATAAAAAGGTCACCCGGTGGCAGGCATCCATATCTGGGGAAATGTTTATTTATAAGCCCCAAAGAAAAACACATGCAGCCCGGAGTGCACGAATAGATTGGAGCCTGCTTCCTCTCCACATTGTCAACAGAGGGCATCAGACTTTTATTGAATTTCTGAATGGATATAATTGGACAGATAGGTACAGACAAGTATGTGTGAATGGAGAATAAACAGTTCCTTTATACTAATGTGAGCTCTACAAGAATGACCTTGACCTGTGCATGCCGACAATTTCAGGGTGTATAGAAAAAGTGTGAATGGGGAGATGCATAAACACACGCAATTTTGTTAAGTTAAAAAAACAAAAAAACAGCAAAAAAAGCCAAAAAACATGAAAATAAATGGCACTGACAGAGGATTAAAGGAAGACATATCAATAAACAAACCAATCCCTAAGAATAATTCAATTCTAGATAATAAACCATTATATCTCACAGTTATATTTGTAAATGTTTCTGTTCTTTTCAGATATTACTAATACATCAGCACAGTAAGATTCTTATTTGTGTTTTAATGTGGGGGAAAAATGGTAAAACTCATTATTCTTCATCAGCTTTATTTTATTTATTGAATGTGCTTTGTGTGGTGGAAATCCGGAAAACTGAACACTTAACTTTCCCTACCAAAGATGAATAAAGTATCAGTCTGTCATTGATTTGAATCCACTGGGTTTAGTTTTTGATCTGAACTAAATGAGCTCAAATTTTGAAAAGTTCTCAGCTTTTTGGTTCTCTCCCAAAATATTTGCACATGATTGACATTTCCAGCTCACATGACAAGTCACAGGGCTGAGGCTGACCCTGTCCCAGCCCTCTGCCCCCCACAACGAGGCTGCGAATGGATTTAAGGATCACTGAACTTTAATAAAATATTTGTCCTCACATTTATTGATTTATTCATTTTAACAAGTGAGCACAATTCACAAAGTATTTAATCAAACTTTTTTCCCTTTAGAGCTTTTCTGAAGCAACACTGCAGAATTAATAGTTTGCAGTTACATCATGTTGGGGGTGTTCTACATGTATCTCTAATGGTAGAACGTTACCATGGTGACACAATGCACAAATCAGCAAAAGATTCAAGAAACACAAAAAATATAAAATGGTTTTAAATAACACATTCTCAGGAGCCTGTGATCAAAACAAGTGTCCACGGTCCTGTTTAGCAGTTTGATTTTCAATAAAAAGGTGAGAGTGACTACTGAAAAACTATCCAGGCTGGGGCCACCTAGTGCCTCCACTCAATTTCATTTCTCTCCAGTGACAAGGTCAGGAATTGGAATACACAAGATGGTTTGCAAGAACCTCAGAAGTTGTGGACCACGCACCGGTCAATCAGAGAAGAGCTGTGAAGCCATGACATCAAACTCAAGCGCCTGTCTGGGTCCCTTTTGTGGTATAGCACAACAGTAAACAAAGCGGTCAAGATGGATGTAGATGAAGAGCCATACATTCTGTGTTGGCAACGATTCTCAAGATTGAGGATTTAAAGCCAGAATAAAGAGAATGTTTGGTGAATTTTAACAAGGGGAAAGATGTTATTGTCCTTCTTCCTACGGGATTTGGTGCATTACATACGTAGCGACCAAATAGCAGGGATTGGTTATATAAAAAAGTACCCGCTTACCGTTGAATGAACAAATTCTCATGCTACAAGGTCAGACAGTTTCCACGAAGTGAAACCATCTGATAAATCAGGCAACTGAAAAACTATTTTGTGACTGAAATTTTATGTGTGAGAGGCTTGTTTAACAGCACAAAGCAGCTCACCTGTTGTAGTTCCAACTAAGTCAATTCTTTATAACAGTAATGTGTTAAAATAAACCTTAGATTAAAGTCTAATAAAGCCTCAGACAGAGCTGTGCCTACAGTTAGCATCACAACCCCAGGGAATATTGATGGCATCTGCTGCAAAGTATGAATATACAGTGTTTTATGTCAGATGCCCTTCCTGGTGCAACTTCTGCTGATAGATTGAGCACAAAAAGTACACTGCATGATGTGACTGTGAACACATAAATTAATGAGCTCACGTACTCCATATATTTATAATGAAGCAAGTATGTCCCATGTTGCATTTGCATTGGATCGACATCTTTAGTTTTAAAATCCTTGAACTCTGTACAGCTCCTATCTGTCCGTCTGTCCATTCGCTCCTCAGTTTAGTCACTGCCGTCTCCTTGGATATCAGACTCGGAGCACAGTCATAATCAAAGCAGCTCTTCTCCATACAGCCAAGACTCAAGTTAATATTTATGTAGCTAAGGGCAACTAGGCTGCTCTGACCTCAATGCTGCAGCATGAGACAATCTGAGGGCCAGTCCAACTATGGGCTCAGAGATTGCACACATTATTGATGATGTTTTTTTGTTTTGTTTTGTTTTTTCAGATCAGGCAGTAGTTATTTCTATTCATATTAAAAGACATCATTAAAGGTGCATTGTGTAACTTTTCTGGAGGAGGATCGGTCAAATGCTTTTCTCCATGGAAATGTTATTGCTTTGTCTGGAATGTCACAGTACAGTATTAAACCTTTCTATCTTCATAACCAAACCAAGTTACAGACCAGATCTGTGGAGAGGTGAGCCCTCTCACTGTCAGAATGCCTGTTTTTCGAGGTATTTTTGAGCTGTTAAACCACGTTTCACATAAAAATACAATACTATAGTGAAACAATTACGTAAAGTTGCTGTCTATAAAACCTTTTTTCTAATAAATATTCAATGGAGGTTCTAAAAACAGTTTTGCCATACTTTATAACTTGCTATAACTATGTAACACATTTTATACTTATTCCTTTTCGCTGAATTCCATTTCCACTTCACTAGACAGACATGACTTGCCTTTAAACCACCTTAAGATTTTGTCTTTGTTGTGTTTGACGACTCTTAAGCTGGTTTTTAGTGTTAAATATAGTAATACTAGTGGGGATTTCACCAGGCTGCACCTGACCTAAAATCAATATGAGCAAATACAGTCTTAAGCCTCTTCAGATCAATAGTCTCCTCTTTGTCTCAGTTCCTTTTCTTTGACTACAGCCCTAGTACTGAAAGCCACACTCACATAGACCCTTAATATTCAGCACAGTGTCACCCAGTCAAATATGATCAAATCAGTGTGCTCTCACATTTCTGTTATTTAATCCTTCGTCTGCCCAAAGACTGCCCTCCTCAGGCCCCTTTAAGAGAGAGGGCCAGGACTCATAATTGACCCAGCAGACAGGAAGCAATTAAAAAGAAGTCAAACACATGAGGGGCTCGCAGATCAGAACTGAAAAAAAGAGGCAGGTCTACTCCGCTGTGGGCACGCCGGGCTGTGGCTGCACAACTGTCAAATAAGTTGACTGTGAAAAGACCACATAGAGTAAACAAGTCATTTGGAGGGAGCCCTGTGAGTGAGTAAACTCTGAAGATGACCTGAGTTTTGTGATGCTGCGGCTCCAGCTCTGTCTCTGCTCTGTCTCTGCCCTGTGCTGTATGACACATGTGTCACCTCTAACAAGTGAGACAAGCAGCAGACAGAGGTGAGGAGGCTCATTCACATGTTTGCTATGGAAACTTAGCCAAGTGGAAACAGATGTGTCTCACTGGTGACCTATAAAAAATGATATATGCTCTCCAGTAATATGGTTCAGCAGAGGCCAGCACTTCCAATTTGCTTCACTTTGCTGTTCTGTAGCCTCACTATAAATGTGGACATATTTCTCAAACACAAAGAGTTTTGTCTAAATGCTTCCATGAACGTGAGAATGTGAAACTCTATACAACCGAAAAAGAACAAAGGCGTTAAAGTTGCTCTATGTAATTTTTTGGTAGAATATCGGCTACCTGC